TAATTACTTGACAATGACAAAGTCTAAATAAATCACAGCAGAAGAGGTGGTGCGCTGGATTCCTGGAGATAACGGTGACAAAACAAGAGGGAAAGAAATGTTATAGATGCCACTGAACAGGCTGAACACCCTCGCCTTGTCCCCCAACAATACAGACTTACACACTGGAGGCCCAACAGATTTCTGTTCAGTGTAAATTATAACCCAAAATAACACCCATTGCCAATCCATACTCCAAAATGTGAAACGACGCAGCATCATGCTAAAACAAATGGCATCATCCAGCAAGGTGCTGCATTGGCCAGCACTGTTTATCTGGAGACCAAACATGAAACTGTCCTGATGTTCTGGGATCAGGTTTCCTGAGTGTCCACTGAGCATCGGTCAGTGTCGGCCTGGACAGGCTGCGACAGCATCACTGTGTCTGTGACAGACTCAAGGTGAGACAACAGACTGACCTTTGAGCCGCTTAGTCACCATACATTCATAAACTAGATGCACCGTAGGTCAGAGTGCAGCAGGCGGTTCTCCACCGGATACAAAGATGGATATGATGTGGTGTGTTGGCTACGTTTCACCTGATGTTGTTATGGAGGCAGAGGCAGAGAGGCATCGCCACCAACAGCAAAACAGACAGAAGTTCTGTTTTAATAAATCAGATAAAGAGAGCGACTGATAATCGTGTGTGTGTGCCAATCTCCTTTCTTGCCACATGGCTGCACTCGCTGATTACCTGATTTGACTGTTTCAACCTCCCTGTTTGCCAATAGGCTTTACACACACACACACACACACAGATCAACCTCCCTGTATTCAATTATTTTGTGTCTGTGTGTTTGTAGCATTTACTGCTCTTTCCCATTTATTTCTGTGGTTGTGCGGACACATTTGCATTTGTATTCAGTTACCATGCACTGTGAGGACATTTATACAACATGAGGACATTTCTGCACTGTCCTCACTGGGACAGTGTCTAAAGTGTCGGCGAGTCAAAAAACTGCTGCACTGACATTCTCAAAACATTCTCACTCAAGGTGCACTTACTTTCTTGATTGAGACCTATCAATTACAAACATGGTCTTCATCAACACATGCAGAAGTGTAGGTGTTCAAACTTTCCAGAATCTCCAGTCAAGCTCCACTTACTCAGAAAGTTTAAAGCCATGAACTGATCAGCCCAAACACCTGACCTTAACTGGTCCACCAGTGTAAATACAGCCACGAGTGAGTGAGCCCAGACATCAAAGGCATCCACGATTGTTTCCAGTTATTAGAGTTTGTGGTCGACAGCCACTCTGCTGCACGTCGAGCACAAGGCAGCATGGGTAATTGAATAAAACTATTACAGATGAATTATTAAAGATGTGGTGGGATGTGGTTTTCATTATGGAGCTAACAGCATGTCAGTGCACATCAGAGCTGCAGGAGACAAAATTCACTTGAGGTTTATTGACTTGACTACAAAGCTGCTGTGTACGGTGTCATCCACACACGTCCACGTGGGAGGTGGAAAACCTGTTGTCACATCCTGGTCTCTCTGTCTTGACACCATTAGTAACAGAAATGCGATCACACTGTTTCTCATAAACTAGCTGTGTGAAGAGCAAACACAGCTGAGAGAGGTCAGTCCTGGCCTACTTGCTCACACCCACACAACTGAGCAGTCACTGAGCGAGGCCGACCAGGAGGAGGACGGTTCATTCAGTACGGTAACATTGTGAGAGTCTGTTTCCTCTGCAGAAGGAAAATGAGGCAGAAAGAGGCGCCTGATATTTGTGTAAAGGTCTGACCAACACTGTGTGTAAGTCTGTTTGGTAAAGACACAAAATGTGTGTAATACAGCCAGAGAGGAGTGTGTTGTGCTAAAGTCTCAGTGTGAGTCAGCGCACACACACAGACACACACAACGGTACCATCAGATGCAGCTGATGATTATCAGGACTCAGAGCAGCCAACCAGAACACAGACTGATGGAAAACACATCATCACTTATTCTCCATCTGTGTTTGTCTAAAATGATTGTTTGTCTCAGTGTTTGTGTGTTTGTACCTTGGGCAGTCGCTCTGGGTCTCCGGGGTGGCGAGGGATGACCTTCTGTAACCTCTGGAAGCCGTAATCTATGGTGGGCTCATTTAATGCTGAGGAGGAGGAAGAGGAGCTGGTCAGTTGATCAAATATTACAAAGAACTTTCCCAAAGCACCACACTCATTTTGTCCATCACTGTCTCCAACAATAACACCAGACAAATCAGCTGTGTGATGAGACACCACGACTTTATCACATGGCACAGTGTGTGGACCTTTCCCACGGTGCACCTGTGGTTTCTGGACAATGTCAACAACATACAAATGAAATTTATATGCAATTCAGATGTGAAATGAACACTTTCGAATGTAAAGTAACGTGAATTGCTGCGTGTCATGTGTCTCCGGGGTGACGTTCGGGGGTCCTTTAGTTCCCTATGAGTGCCTGCACCTACCCCTGGGTTAACCTGCCACAGTTACACACAGACTCATTCCTGACTATAACAGTCAACTCTGGCTGACACATGCTGCCCTGGCAGTGTGGGAACACAGATAAGGAGACAGTTTACAGAAATGAATGAGTAAGAACATAAACTACATGTAAATGAAAATAAAACATGTTGCTGATTGAACTACTGAACTAGAGACTCTGAGCTCACAGTTTATACAGTTTACAGTGGAAAACCTGAAACCTAATGACAACAACAAACGAATCGGAGTCTGGACACTGACTCGTATCTCACACCTGAGTACAAACAGATGACAGTGCTCTGAAGAGTTACAGAAAGAGGAACAGGACCAGAAACCGTCGGTTCACCCACGGTGCAGTTTGTGAGTCACTACCAGTCGTCACTGTTGTTTCCTCTTCCTCTCTCTCCTCTAACATCATTTACAGACTAAACTGGCCAGGAGGCGATAAATCAGAGCGCCAGTGAACACAGCCGAGCACAGTACACAATGCATGCGTGTGTGTGTATGTGAAGAGCATGAGTCATAATCCCGTTGTGGTTCAGCTGCGTTTAACAAGCTTTACTCCGACTCCGCTATACATCACAGACAGTGTGTGTTCAGTCCTTGAAGGCTCACAGGGCGTAACAAGCAGCAGTTAGACAGTGTCTCAGCTCTGCAGACGTCTGTGTGTCAGTGTGTGACACTGTGTTGTTAACTGTGTTACAGTTTGTCAGCTGTGTGTCCCCCTTTTCTCCTGGAAAGGTCCTTTATGGATCAGACCCACCTTTATCTTCACCATGTCTTGGAGTAGGAGTTCCAAAGTGTCTCATGTAACCAAAGCACCACTGCTGTTTGCACGTGTACAGTGTGTGTCACTTTAGATAGATGATGTGTGTGATTCCGGTCACAAGGTGATGACATAGTTGCACTGTCAGAGACAATGCTACAGCAACTCTTCCTGCCATCACTGTACAACAACTCTCCTGTGTCTCAGGAGCACAGACCGTACATAAAGATGGATGACATGACAGCTCCCACAGGTCGATCGCCCCCTGGTGGCTGGATGCAGTATAGGCTATAAACCCCGCCCCCTCCAAGTTCTGACTGAAATAAAAACTCAGAGTGCACATGAAATACATTTTCCCAGAAGTGATTTCTCTAGTTTTGGACATTATCAGGGCAATGTGTGCACAGGAGGTTTATGGTAAATGTGCTTTAAAAAAGTTATAGATGATGTAAAATGGGGTGTGTTTCAGATGAGAGACAGCTTTGATTGGCAGCCTGATGCCACGGATCTGCCTCTGGTCACTTTTGTTCTGAATCTGGTTGTAAAATGCCTCACAAATTCAAGATGGCGGCCTTTAGTGTTATATTTTGGCCTCGCCTTTACATAGTGGCACAAAGATGTGACACGTCATCCATCTTTATATAAAGTCTGTGGTCGGCAGAGGGGGCTCCACTGGCAGCACCGGTATTAGACATGTTCATTGTACAGTGTACTAACCTGGTTAATAAACACACTGTTCATATCCAGATTCATCTCAGTGTTTTTCAGATTATCCACCTGACTTGCACCAATGATAAACCCAGTCTAGCCGAGTAAGCATACTGTAGCACTTATTCACAGTGTATACTACTCGTCTGTTTTAGGCTTTATTTTTGCATTGTGCATTTTCTTGTGGAAGCCTTTGTCTGATTGGTTAATTGTCTGTGTTGAATGGGTCTAATCAGGCATAGTACCAAACTGTGCACCAGTCTAATCACTAACACCTGACTGGAGACGAGCTCCCAGCATGCTGTTAACTGATGTGTGGTTGTCACTGGCTCCTAGCAAGGACATGATGAGTGTGGATCTTGAATGACACCGACCACTGATCTCACTTGCCCTAATCCTCTGAGGAGACGTTTCAGCCCCGAGAGTCAACGTAGTGCTGTCATTCTGCATAAAGTGAATGTTGACCCCAGTGTTTAGAGACAGTCCACAGTCAGTCCTTTGTCAGGATGGACAGTGAAACATTAATGACGGCTGAAGTGAAATGTTTTATTGCTGATGTGAGAATCCATCACTTTCAGTTTTACACGTATTTAGTAGCTTCAAAGACTTGAACAGACGGCGCTACAGTGTCGTCAGTCAGTGTAGTGTGTGTGTGTGGACGCGTGAGGAAATAAAAACCTGAAAGTAGGTCAGACAGGGAAGGCATTGGAGCGATCAATACTCTGTGATCAATACTCATGGAGATTACATGAAGGCTGAACACACATATCCCGTCTGTCTGCACAAGGACACACCAGCGTGCTTAATACCTGTGTGATGTCACTGTTTTTCACCTTAGGTGCAGTCATATAACGCAACGCCTGCACCTCACACATGTACACAACAATAAAGTTGCCTTTGTCGGTGTGTGACAAAGGATTTACTCTACTTTTCCTATAGTTTTAAGTGCGGTTCCGTTGTGTTTCCCTACCACATGAAGCTCAAGGCTGTTGGGTGGAAGGTACAGTGATCACTGTAGGTACATCTCAGCCACTCATTGCGAGGGAGTTACTGTGCTACTGGTGCTGTGTCCGTCTAGTCCACTACACATCAGAGCTGGTTCTACACTAGCTTAGCTTAACCTCTGGCCTGTAAACAGCTTAGTTACATGTCTGTTGTACTTCTCAATACGGGAAACTTATACTTCTTCTCTGTTCACTCTCTATGGAAGTGCTGGTGCAATGCATGCTGGGAGCAGTGTGGTGCAGGGTGGAGGTGAGCTGCTGAGGTGTGAAAGCATCTGCTGTGTGAAAGTGAAGGTCATGTGACTGATGACTTCACACATACGCACCTGCAGGACTGAGTGAGTGTGTGTGTGTGTGTGTGTGTGTGTGTGTGAGTGTGAGTGTGTGTGCTCTCAGGTCATTAACAGACAGTTTGAGGGTTAATGAGGTTGAAACGTGTGTAATTACTGTGACAGTGTGAACAGGAAGTGAAATATAAACAAACTAATGGAGGGAGGCAGGTGAAGGTACTGTCTATCTGTGTATTTGTCTGTCACCGTCTATTTGTCTGTCTCTCTCTACACTAGCTCACCTGGGTGGATCACCTGTGTTTGTTTGCACTCTGGCTCAGTAGTGATAGCCGGGGTGTTCCAAAGACCAGCTTTAACTAACTCTGACATGACCCCTGACCTCTGAGCTGAGCATCCCTGAGATGGAAACCGCTGGGTGCTCAGTTCCAGAACAGCTGATCAGAGGTAGTTTAATTCATGTTGAGACAGAGAGAAAAGACAGGCTAGACTCAAGGAATAAGTTAGCAGTAACTAGCTCAGAGTTAACATGATCTCCGTTGTTGGCAATGAAAGCTCAGTTTCCCTGAACTTGTGAATAAACCACTGGGTGAACCTGCTTTCTGGAACTTGTCCTATAAAACTGAAGGCAGGCTGAGGCTTGTGTGGTCTGGTCTCTACAAATGTCGCGATAGAAACAAAGGTAACTTGACCAAAAGTCAGAATGGAAAACATGGATGAAAAACGCCGGTTTCCTCAGCTGCATTTTTGGACGCTTACAATTACTTTTTGCTTTGTAACTGCTGCAGTTTTGTTTGTGATCTTCTTTTGTCTGTTGGGCTTTTATCACCTCATTTTGGCAAGTTATTTTTATCCAGCTTTATTTTGATTTAACTAGTTTTATTCTGGTTTTGAATGCTTTGTATTTTTAATGTTGTTAATGCTATTTGTTGCCATGTAAAACACTCTGAATTTCCTCTGTGTTTGAAATGTGCTGCCTTGCCTTCATGAACTGCTTTGTTTACCTAAATGTCAGCTTATAAAGACTTGCTCTGGTTGGATGTTTGAGGAAGGTTAATGCGCTCCTCCTGTGACTGACTGTGGAGTTAGCCTGTCAGATTAAGTTTGCTCACTTTGAGGTACCTGTGTAAACGAAGCGTCCAGGTGCTCCTTTACAAAACTGTTTGGATTTGTAAGACAGCGTGACCTCGACAACCCCGGGGATGTGACGTGGAGGAGTCTGGACCCGGATAGCATGGGGGGTGATCAGCTGAAAAGAAAGAGGGTGAGAGGCACAGGAGATACACAGAGAGAATAATGGAGAGAGAGAAAAGTCATAGATTGGTGTCAGATTTGGTGCAACAAATGTCATCTTTGTATAAAAAAAACACAGTGATTCTGTTTGTTATTGTCATTGTGTGTTCAGTGTACTGATTAGTGATTACTGATTGATCAGGTGTGTGTTACCTCGCTCCACACAAGCATGGTGCCGAAGACGACCTGCAGGCCATCAAAGAAGTTGTCTCCGATCAGGATGACGGTGGCTCCCCCTGTTGTCCAGCCCTCGCTGGGACTGATGGCTTTAATACAGGGAGTGGCTGCTGGATGAGAGAGGGGCAGATGGGTAAATAGAAATGTTAGAATTTATCATGCTGTTAACGCTCCACCTTTGCTCCATGTTCTTCCATCACTGTGCCACACTGAAGCCTCACTGACTGGACTCTATCCACATTAGAGGACTGAATCTGCAGAGACATGTTTCAGACCACACGCCACAGTGCACACATTGTACCACAGGTTGGGGACCAGTGACCTACGCTCCTGCAGTACTAACCCCCTCCTGTCTGAAAGTCTGTGCCAACCAATTGGCTCCCATCTTCACGCAGCTCTTCAACTGATCACTGGAGCTTTCTGTAGTTCTCTCCAGTTTTAAACGCTCCACCATCATCCCAGTTCCCAAGAAACCCTGTATCATGGAACTGAACGACTACAGACCTGTCGCCCTGACATCTGTAGTCATGAAGTGTTTTGAGAGTTTGGTATTGGCCCACCTGAAGGACATCGTAGACCCCCAGCTGGATTCCCTGCAGTTTGCTTACCGAACAAACAGGTCGGTGGATGATGCAGTCAACATGGCACTGCACTAAACCCTGCAACACCTTGACTCAAAGGGACCTATGCTCAGATCTTATTTGTCGACTTCAGCTCAGCGTTCAACACCATCATCTCGGACATCCTCCACTCCAAACTGACCCAGCTCACTGTGACTGTCCCCACATAACAGTGGATCACCAGTTACAGTATATGACAGACAGGAAGCAGCAGGTGAGGCTGGGGAAAACCACATCCAGCACCCGAAATATCAGCACAGGTGCCCCCCAGGGTTGTGTGCTCTCCCCGCTGCTGTTCTTCCTCTACACCAATGACTGCACCTCAGGAGACCGCTCTGTAAAAATCCTGAAGTTTGCAGACGACCGGACGGTCATCGGCCTCATTCAAGACGGTGATGAGTCAGCCTACAGACGGGAGGTTGAACAGCTGGTCCTGTGGTCGTAACAACCTGGAGCTGAACACACAGAAGTCGGTGGAGATGATGGAGCTCCCCCACCCTATCTCCGCTCACTGATGGAGCTCCCCCACCTTATCGCCGCTCACTATACTCAGCTCAGTCATGTCAGTCAGTTTCAGTCGTGGAGTCCTACAAGTTCCTGGGCTCCACTATCTTCCAGGACCTGAAGTGGACGTCCAACACCAGGACCATCACCAAAAAGGCACAGCAGAGGATGTACTTCCTGCGCCAGCTCAGGAAGTTTGACCTGCCCCAGGAGCTGCTGATACAGTTCTACAAAGGAATCATCGAGTCTGTTCTCTGCACCTCCATCACTGTCTGGTTTGGCTCAGCAACCAAACAGGACAGGAACAGACTCCAGCAGACAGTCAGGACTGCAGAAAAGGTCAATGGTGCAAGCCTGCCCTCCATGGAGGATCTGTCACTGCAGACCCGTCACACACCGGTCACAAACTGTTTGACCTTCTCCGCTCTGGATGGCGTTACAGGTCACTGTGCACCAAGACAACCAGGCACAAGGCCAGTTTCTTCTCCCGGGAAATTACACTGATGAACAGCTAGTCTATGTTTGCTCTTTTAACTTGTGCTTTTTAACTTGTATATACTGTATTTTGTTTTTTATTGCTGTGCACATCGGGGGCCATTGGACTGGAGTCAAATTCCATGTATTTTTGATAATACTTGGCAATAAAGTTTATGCTTACTACTGCACTACTCAGGCTGAAGGTCACACACACACAGAATGTGATTTAATTGGGTTATGGCTTTTATCCACTTTAGCTTAGTTCACTCTAGTACTACACACACACACACACCCACAGAACACACTCTGCCGGTAATGACTACTTCTCCCTCTTCTTTCAAGAATGGCTGCAGATTAATTATAAAGTGAAATTAAAGCACTGAGAGAGAGAGAGAGAGAGAGAGAGAGAGTGAGAGGGAGAGAACCTAATCTTATCACCAACGACTTAAGATGACATTACAGCACCTGATTCGATTCCATTCTGTTTCAATAGAGGCTGCTGTAGCAGTACAACAGTACTAACTGTGTATAACAGGCAAAGGCAAAGCAGGAGAGCTGCTGATGGTGATGCAGGGCAGACTTTAGTGTACAAACCATTCAGCACCAACACACCTTCAACAACACAACTTATTTTCAACCCTACAAACTGCTTTGTATAACCACCGTTAATGCTCCTGCTCTTTTGTGAAATGTTTCTTGCCGACTGTTTACGACTATAAATGCTGGTTGTTTAGGTCAGCGCACCTTTCTGTAGCCTGAGTGTGTCAACCATAACTGTGTGTTTACAATTGTGATATCTTCGTATATCAGTAATGAAGCACAGCAGCTTGAGCTTCAGTCAGACTTACTGTATTGCTGACCACAACAATGCTAACATTGCTAAGGGGGGGGGGGGGGGTGTTACAACTACTCTATTAGTGTCACAGCTAGGATGCACACATACAATATGCCTCAACTAGCTATGCTAGTGCCCTCTATTGGTCATGGAACGCAATGACATTTGAAATCTTCACTTCCCAACAACAATCTGATCTGAGCTCTCTGAAGGTTTAAACCATGTCGGACAAACTGTGATGAATAATGACTTTCACTTTCAGGACTGTTTGGTTCTGATAAAACTGTCAGTGTTACTCATGCATAATCACCTTTATTTTATTTGGCCAAGTATGTTACACACAAGGAATATGTTTCTGGTAGAGAACTGAGGCAGCCATCTGCAGTGCCAATTCAACCAATGGCTCTAATCATCGGGGGCAACTTGGGGGTTCAGTGTCTTGCCCAAGGACACCTCGACATGTGGACCGAGATTCGAACTTCTGACCCTCCGGTGGGAGACGACTGCTCTACCCACTGAACCACAGCCTGCCCCCTGATGCATATTCAATCAGGATCATATAATCAGTTGGGACCATAGACTGTATGTAAGAAGAGACAAAGCATTGCCGTGTCCTGTTGACAGCTGGGTTTATTACCTGTTCTGTGTAGGAAGACTGTAAATGTTTCAGATGGAGTTACTGGTTTCTGTGGATTTCTTTTACACTGGTCTTGCAGCTTTACAGAACCCGAGCTGTTACAGAGAGACGAAACAGTAAAATCACAGAGAGCGTTCAAACCCATGGGACTCCAGTGCGCTCTGATTGGGAGAACTGGTTTCTATGGTTACCATCTTTAATTAGGAGGGCAATTAAAGAGGTTGAATGGCCCACAAACACACACACATACTGTCCTCTCTGGGGACGGGGCGGCGTCTGGTCTTCCTACCCACAAGCCACTCTTCAAAGACCAAACTATATACCCCTCCTTCGCTCAGGTCTCCTGCTTTAGATGCGTTAAAGCAGCATTTTTACATTTTAACACTAAAATCCGTTCATTTTAATTGGATGATTTCTGCAGGTCAACTCACCATGCCCAGGGCTTTGACAGAGGATCAGATACAGTAAATTTAGACATTCGTGGCACAGAGTAGTTGGACAGTGCTGACCTTTGATGGAATAAAAGGTTGAAATCCTATTTTATGTGTCACCATCCAGTGGGCTACACAGTGCTCTACAGCAGAGATGCAGTGTGGTCTGCAGATGGACAGGGTTATCATGATGTCACCCAGCTTGCATGAGGAAATCTGATTTAATCTTGATTTAACCAGGTAAAAATCCTTTGGGGTGGCACAGTGGAACTGTGTCACCTTACAGCAAGAAGGTTCTGGGTTTGAGCCTGTGGCCGACCGGGGCCTTTCTGTGTGTATGCATGTTCTCCCCATGTCTACGTGGGTTCCCTCCCAGTACTACGGCTTCCTTCCACAGACAAGCAGGTCAAGCTGATTGGTGACTGGACCTACCTGTGAGTGCGAGTGGTTTTCTGTCTCTCTTTGTCAGCCCTGTGACAGACTGGCCACCTGTCCAGGTGTGCCCCGCCTCTCACCCAATGTCTAAACTTGGGGATTTGAAGCTTTTTTGTTACAGTCAGAGTAGCATCTAATGGGCATCAAATGACCTGCACCTGTATATTAACATACCTTCAGAAGGGTCCAGTCTCCGAGCCCGGCGGCCATGTTTGGAGTTGTTGTGCACAAACATGTTATCAGAAACTGCAAGAACATGACCGTCCACATGCACTGTTGTAGACACCACCACCTGCAAACAGAGAAAACTGTATTTATAACCTGTGGAGAAACAGAACAGCCACAGATTTCCTCAACACCAAAATACCAATGGACCTATGTATCTGAAAAGAAGGAGAGCAGCCACAACTGACAAGGCCAAGAATGCTTTTCCCAGCATGCATTGTAAATGCTTTCTGTAAATGTCTGTGGAAAATGGAAAAATGTACAAATGGAAAGAAATGTCCTGATGAGTGAACTTTAGAAACGGTCAGAAGATCAACATCAGCTGTCTCCATAGAAAATATCATGGAAATCTGACAAGTCATTTTGTGATGCTGTCAAATTTATGCTTTGTAGTGTTTAGCACACACAAAATATTAAAGAAATGTTTTATAAAAAAAAATCACATTTTGCAAATGTGAAATACATTAAAATCACTTGTACTGTAAGTCACTTGAATTGACTGATTTTCACTGTGAAACTTTCTCCCAGAACAAATGCACTTCCTTCAATGACAAAAACAGGCCATTGCTCACATCTGACTTCTGTATCATTTACATTCCTAAAATTATAATAAACCTGAAAAAGAGGAGAACACCTTAACAAAATCAATGTTAAAAACTTTGGAAAACACAAAAATATTATATTTAAAATGTTTATTAATTTTATTTCACAAACATTTATATTTAAAATTTGGAAAACACAGAAATATTATATTTAAAATGTTTATTAATTTTATTTCACAAACATTAATATATTATATAAGGTAAAATATATAATGTACAGTACAATAAAGTCAAAAAAATTAATTTAAAAAAATAAGAAAAATGATAAAAACTAGAAACAAATGTAGACAAGTTTCATTGCGCTGAGACCTAGAGTTAAAAACGTCCATTGTGCCATCTGCACTGGCCCCACCCCCTGTGTGATGTCACAGCCGCTCAGCTGTGGTCTTCCATCATCTCCGGATGGCTGCCGTGGCGAGGTTGTTGCCGTTGATCCATGGCAGTGGAGAAGGAGGTCACACAGAGAGTGAGTAGAGGTGTCCTCTCTGTCGCCACGGTGACTAACCAGCCCATTCTTCACCCTGCTGTCGCCACAACACCCACCATAGTCCAGAGGCTTCACCTGACTTCACCTGCCCCCCTCATCTGATCCATCTCTCTCTCTCTCTTCACACAGTGGCTGTAACTCACTCGCCCCATCTCCCTCCTCCTCCTCTGTTGGTTTAACTGAACTTAAAGGGCCCATGGTGCTTTTCCTTGATTTTAATATATACACACACACACACACACACACACACACACA